GCCCTCAGGTGCCTTGGAGAATAGCTTGACTCCCTCTTCTTTGGGGCAGCCCCTGAGATATTGGAAGACTACTTAACAACTGTGGCAAGAAAGTTGTAAAATGGGACAAAATTCACTGAACGCATATCTTTGGACTGGATTATGGTCGCAAGTAGAGCCCCCCCCCCCCTACCTGTAGAAGCCCAGGGCCACTTACCATTGGAAGTAGAGGAACACCTGTCCCACCTGTAGAGGAGGGGGGGGGGAGAGGAAGAAAATCAAATCAGCAGGTGGACTGGCTCATCAGGTGCCTCCTACCTGAGTTCAGACTGGCTTTCTCTGACGTCAGCATTGATATCCCACCTGCTGAATCTGCCTGCAAAGGTCTCTTATCTTCCACCCCAGGCACTAACTAACCACTAACCAACTAACCATTAACTCACCCCAGTGTAACCATCCCTCCCTCACTCCAGTTTGCCCTCCCACCCCTATTGGCTAGTAATTTGGGAATGGCCCACTCTGGGACGAGTCCTTTTTTCACCCACACAACACCCCTGTAAGGTAGGCTGGGCCAAGCATGCCTGGTGGCCTCCAAGACTCCCACGGACCCCCTAGGAAGAGGGTGTGGCTTGAACCCAGGTTGCAGTGCAACACTTCCACACACACACACACACACACCCTGGTCACTCCTGTTGACTGGGAATTTGGGAAGGAGCTCGCTGGGGCCCCCGAAACTGGATTCAATCTTTTATGGGGTTTTAATGACTTTGTAGGAGTGTTTTGCAAACTTGGCCATTTAAAGATGTATGGACTTCAAGGCCCAGAATTCCCTAGTTAGCACCTTGTAAAGTGAGGACTTCAACTCCCAGAATTCCTTCCCAGCACTTTAGAAAGTATGGACTCCCAGAATTCCCTAGCCAGCACCTTCAAAGGGACTTCAATTCCCAGAATCCCCCAGCCAGCACCATCAGAAGGGAGAACTTCAACTCCCAGAATTCCTTGTTAGCATTTTCGAAAGTATGAACTTCAACTTCCCAGAATTCCCCAGCCAGTATTTTAAAAACTATCCATTTCAACTCCCAGAGTTCCCCAGTTAGTACCTTAAGAACTGAGGACGTCAACTCCCCAAATTCCCTAGCAGGCACCTTAAAAAGTTCTTCAACTCCCAGAATTCCTTGTTAGCATTTTAGAAAGTGTGAACTTCCAACTTCCCAGAATTCCCTACGCAGCACCTTAAGCACTGTGGACTTCAACTCCCAGAATTCCCTAGCCAGGACCTGAAAAAACAATTCCTAGGTTTCCCCAGCCAGCACCATCAGAAGTGAGGACTTCAACTCCCAGAATTCCTTCTTAGCATATTAGAAACTGTGGACTTCAAGTCCCAGAATCCCCCAGGCAGCACACCTGGAGGGCATGGCAGGGCCCTCTTCCAGCGCCCCCCCCCCCCCGTCGTACCTGGTAGACGGAGAGGTACAGGCCCCAGAGGGCGAGGAAGACCAGGCTGTCCCGCAGGGGCTCCAGCACCAGGGCCCCAAAGGAGAGCAGCGTGCCCATCAGGCACAGCAGCTCCAGGCCCTGCTCCGTGTCCAGCCCCAGGTGGGGGCCCAGCCACAGCAGAGTCGGGGAGTCCCGCAGCTGCTGCCAGAAGTCTTTGCCGGTGAAACGGAGCATCTTCCGGGCGGGCAGGATGCCATCTCTTCCGTAGAGGCCTGCAGGGAGAAAGGAGAGAGAGATGCTGAAAGGGGGCAGCGTGGCAGGTTCCACCACAAAACCGCGGAGGACAAAATCGCGCTCGACGA